TTCCTTTTTTTTTTTTCTAAACGTTTTTGTTTTTTTAAAAACTAATTGATTAATTGTTGACATATTATTTTCTAATGATTGAATAATAACGGACTCGAACCGCTAACATTTTCGGTGTAAACGAAATACTCTACCAATTGAGCTAATTATTCTATGGGCCTAAGTAGATTTGAACTACTGACTTTACACTTATCAGGCGTATACTCTAACCAACTGAGTTATAGGCCCTTTGAAGTAAAAGGATTCGAACCTTTGATTTTCCGTACCAAAAACGGAGGCCTTACCACTTGGCTATACTTCAAAATAAAATATATGCTTAGAAAGACTCGAACTTTCATTTTATAGATCCGCAATCTAACGCTTTATCCAATTAAGCTATAAGCATAACTTTAATTTTTTTTTATAATTTTAATATTGATTAATGTATTTTTTGATAAAAATTTTGGTGGCAGCAAATATTTGCTACTGATCGTGGACGAAGCCAGCGGATGCATGAAGGGCTTCGGTCTGCGTGCCAAATCAGAAAGCGAAGACTGCATCAAGACGTACATCACGAAGGTGCAGAAGCAGTTTGGCAAGAAGGTCAAGTTCGTGCGACACGACGGAGCTCGTGAGTTTGCGACTAACTCGCTTAAAGATTTCTACGAAGACGAGGGCATCGAGCAACAAACCACGGTTCCGTACGCGCACCAGACTAACGGCACGGCAGAGCGGGCCATCCGCACCATCGTCACGATCGGCCGCAGCATGCTGCATCATGCCAAGCTGGACAAGTGTTTCTGGGGTGAAGCGGCGATGACGGCCATCTACGTGAAGAACCGCCTGCCGTCACCAAAGATCGAGTGCAAGACTCCGTTCGAGATTGTGTACAAGTCCGCGCCGAGTGTGAAACACATGCGCGTCTTCGGCTGTCGAGCTTTCATCTTATTGAGGGTTGCTGGTCTTGGTACTGTGTACCAGTTGTACCCATTAACCGGTCAACCTGAATAGGTCCAATACGATCCCGCTGTGATTATGGTAAGTTGCTTATGCCATCCATGATTAGACGAGTAGAATGATTGGACGAGTACAGAATGATTGGATGACCTAGGTAGTGAGGAGTGTGTAAGCCCCGATCAATCAATCACTTTCGAATCTTCCTTCTTCCGCTCAAGTGCCTTCACTCCGGTCTCCGCACCAAGTGCAGAAGTCACTCCGTTCAGTCCCAAGCTTCGTTCCAACACCTCTACACCGTTAACAGGTTATGAGCCCAAGCACCATGTCCTCTGCCCATGACGCCTCGACCAAGGTCACCATCGACAAGTTCAACGGTGACAACTACGCGACGTGGAACCGCTACATGCGTGGCGTGTTTCTAACCAAGTCGGTATGGCACGTAGTGAACCGGAAAACGACGCCGAGCTTCACGGACATCCGGACCAAGGACGACTACGTCAAGGCGAGCAACATTGCGTTCGGACTGATGTTGCTCCACATGAACGCGGACTACCATCACGTGGTTGATGACTGCGAGGAAGCGTGGGGCACGTGGACGCGCTTGAAGACGCTGTATGGTGGGTCGCAGAAGGCTGGTCGCATCTACCTGAAGCGCCAACTCTTCAGCATGGAGATGTCGGAAGGCGGCAATGTCTTGCATCATTGCAACGAGGTCCTCAACATCAGCGCCAAGCTCAGCAGCATCGGCGCCAAGATGGAGGACGAGGACGTGGCGATCTGCTTACTGCGAAGTCTCCCCAAGAGCTACGAAAACGTCGTGCTCAATCTGGAGATGAGTAACGCAGAGCTGCGGTCGCAAGACGTTGTGAAGGTGCTCACAAACGAGCACATCAAGCGACAAGGTGAGAAGACGGCGACGGTGAAGACTGAAAACGCGGCCAAGGCGTTCAACACCGACCGAGAGTCTCGCCAATGCACGTACTGCGGGAAATTGGGGCACATGATTGACAAGTGCTGGACCAAGCAGAAGGATGAGGGTCGAGGTGCTCGACGCGGCGGCAACGGCCGTGGACGCGGAGCTAACAACATCCAGTGGCGAAATGACGGCGACGACGACTACGACTACGATCGAGTAGCGTTCGCGGTTTCCCTGGAATGTGGAGTATCGACGAACAAGAATGTGTCTGGAATGTGGGCGGTCGACAGTGGTGCCACACACCACATCTGTAACGACAAGTCCAAGTTCGCCAATCTCATCGAGCGCAATGAAGGCGAACTTTCGGTGGCCGACGGGAACAAGGCGGCTATCAAGGGTGTAGGGACCATCGTGGAAAGAGTGGTCCTGCCCAACGGCACCGAGCGCGAGATCGAGATCAAGAACGCGCTCTATGTGCCTAACATGAGCAAGAATCTGCTTTCAGTACCGCAGATCAACAAGAACGGAAAGTTCCAAGTGGTGTTCGATGGCACTGAGATGCACATCTCACGCAAGGACTCGAATCAAGTGGTGGCATCGGCGGATCTCGTAGATGGACTCTACTGGCTTCGCACGCCTCTTCGATCAGCAAATGCGGCGACAACTGGAAGGACGGTCGACCTGCATGCGCGTATGGGTCACGCTCCAGTCGAGGTGCTTCGCAAGATGGTCGACAACAATATGATCAAGGACGCCAAAGCACCTTCCAAGCCTAGCGGACCAAGTCTGTGTCGCGGCTGCCAGCAAGGCAAGATGGTCCAAAAACCATTCCCTACCAACCGTGACAAGCGTCGCTACGACACTTTCGAGTTGCTTCACTTCGACATTTGCGGACCCATGGAGAAGTCCTCGCTTGGTGGCAGCAAATATTTGCTACTGATCGTGGACGAAGCCAGCGGATGCATGAAGGGCTTCTGCCTGCGTGCCTAATCAGAAAGCGAAGACTGCATCAAGACGTACATCACGAAGGTGCAGAAGCAGTTTGGCAAGAAGGTTAAGTTCGTGCGACACGACGGAGCTCGGGAGTTTGCGACTAACTCGCTTAAAGATTTCTACGAAGACGAGGGCATCGAGCAACAAACCACGGTTCCGTACGCGCACCAGACAAACGGCACGGCAGAGCGGGCCATCCGCACCATCGTCACGATCGGCCGCAGCATGCTGCACCATGCCAAGCTGGACAAGTGTTTCTGGGGTGAAGCGGCGATGACGGCCATCTACGTGAAGAACCGCCTGCCGTCACCAAAGATCGAGTGCAAGACTCCGTTCGAGATTGTGTACAAGTCCGCGCCGAGTGTGAAACACATGCGCGTCTTCGGCTGTCGAGCTTTCATCTTAACTCCGAAGGAAAAACGGCTCAAGTGGGATCCTAAGGCTCGCGCCGGATTGTTCCTGGGCTACGAAGAAGTATCCAAGGCGTATCGACTTTATGACATCGAGGCGGGGCAGGTGGTTATCAGTCGCGATGTCAACTTCGATGAATCGACCTTTGGACTTTCAGAGCCAATTTCCGATGAAGACGTCGACGACCTGGACTTCGAATCTCTCGACATCGACAATGACGGTTCGCGTCAGACGGAGCACAGGCAGGCGGGGAAGCGCAAGAGCCGCCCGAGTGACGAAGATGAATCTGCCACAAGACCGCGAACTACGCGTCATCGACCCGGACTGGAAGAAGCAAGTGCGCCGACCAATTCGTCTTCACGTCGAGCAGACGTAAACGAAGAAGAAAAGGCTGGAGATCAAGATGAAGAATCGACTTCCCCCGTGTTTTGGCGTGCAAGTGCCAACGCAGTCGAAGCTGCGGTGGACTTATCGGAGCCAGCGACTTTCCAAGAGGCGGTGAACGGCCCCGACCAAGTGCACTGGCGCAAAGCAATTCGTGCTGAGCTCAAGTCGATGCGACTTCGAGGAGTGTTCCGTGCTGCTAAGTTGCCGAACGGACAACGCGCTATTGGTACCAAGTGGGTGTTCAAGATCAAGCGCAAAGCGGACGGATCGATCGAGAAGAACAAGGCACGCCTCGTGGCCAAGGGCTTCAAGCAAAAGTACGGCATCGACTACACTGAGACGTTCTCGCCGGTTGTCAAGTACGTGACATTGCGCATGGTGATCGCTTTGGCCAAGTACTTTGGCTGGCCGCTAGACCAACTAGACGTGGTGACGGCATTCCTGTACGGCGTGATGAGGGAAATCGTGTTTTGCGTGGTTCCCGAAGGTGTCGAGCTCGACGGTGACTTCGACTGCCTGGAATTGGTGAAGGCCATTTACGGTCTAAAACAAGCTTCGCGCGTGTGGAACGAGACTTTCGACGAGTTCGTATGCTCTATCGGCTTTCAAGTTTCGGCCTTTGACCCGTGCCTCTACATCAAAGTTGTTGATGGCCACTGTGTACTCATACTGGTCTACGTCGACGATGGCCTGGTCACCGGAAGCTCACCCGAGCTGATCTCACGCACGAAGGACGACCTCAAGACACGCTTCGAAATGACTGACAGCGGCAAGTGTGTGTTCGTCCTTGGGATCGAATTGGTAGACGGCCCGGACGGCAGCGTGACGATGAGCCAACGGCGTTATGTGGATGACATCCTGAAGCGCTTTGGTATGGACGAGTGCAAGGCTGTGGTAAGTCCGGTGGATATAAGCACTCGACTGGTTCCAAGCGACGCGGCGACCAAGGTACAAGCTCCGTTTCGCGAAGCTGTTGGTGCACTAATGCACCTGATGACCGCGACGCGTCCAGATATTGCGTACGCGGTGGGCTATGTGTCGCGCTTCATGGAGAATCCCCAAGAAGAACACTGGGTTGCGGTCAAGCGCATCTTTCGCTACCTGCAAGGCACCAAGACGCATGGAATCTGCTACAAACCGGGTAGCAACATCGACTTTCGCGGATACTCTGACGCAGACTGGGCTGGTGACCTCGCGGACCGCAAGTCGACTTCCGGCTACACGTTCATGCTGATGGGTGCGCCAGTGAGCTGGGGCAGCAAGAAGCAGTCAAGTGTTTCGCTGTCTACGAGCGAAGCGGAGTACATCGCGCTAAGTCTGGCAATTCAAGAAGGCAAGTGGATTCATCGCCTACTGTGCGAGATATTAGCAGCTGCCAATGAGACTGGACCCGACCTCAAGATCCAAGAAGACAACCAGTCGTGCATCAAGATGATAAAGAATCCTGTGAACCACGGCCGCGCCAAGCACATCGACATCAAGTACCACCACATCCGCGATGAAGTCAAG